TATTCCAAATAATTATAGATTTGAGTTGTTGGTTTCTGCAATTTCCTTTTTTGAGGTGAGTACTACAGAAATAATGCTTATTTGGATTAGGTTTATTTACTTTATCTCTTCTCTGAGACGTGTGACGCCGTTTCGTTTATCAAATTTATAGGTATTTTATATTCTTGTTTCTATTTAAATATAACCTACATTATTTGCTGTGCCTCCGCCAGTTTTATTTATTAGTTCTACAGCTGATTGAAAAGTGGAGCTTCATGTTTTGTGTAGGCATGAGTATTGTTTGTTTTATTACAGTTAATTTAAAACAATATTAATAGACCTTTTTTAATTACCTATAATTTGTTTCAGATTAGTGCATTTAAAAGAAGTGGTGAAAATGAAGCGATTCTCCAGCTTTGAAGGTGTGCCAGTAAAAGTAACATCGAAGTTATTCAACGTTTCCAGAATAAAGTATTAAGGAACATCGTCGGTGAACCCTGGTAATGCCGCAATACTGATCATCATAGAGACCTTAAAGTGGAGAGTGTTGAAAATACAATACAAAAATTTGCCAGTAGTCACCAACAACGACTGGTCCAACATGGAACCCTTGAGATTATCCTGCTCCTTAATAATGACAATCTAATAAGAAGACTCAAGAGAACCAAGCCTTTTTAGTTATTATTTATTGTTTCGGCCTTCACTTGATGAAAATCCATTTAATTTTGAAAGAGTAAAACCAAATTTGGTAGATTTTCACACTTTTATTTTAAAAATAAATAAAAATATTTTTTTTTTTTTAAATAACACTAACATGACATATGTTTCGAAGTACAACTTCTTTTTCAAATGTGACTATTTACAATTCGGTATCCAATATATATACGAAATAATTTAACAAAACAAAGTACTTAAGAAAACATCAATAACATTACAAAATAAACTAACTATTTAAAGTAAATAAGGGTACTTAGGTAATTATAATATCCATCAAATAACAATAAGATAGCCCCATTACCGGGATTATCTCACAGAAAACTGGGAAAGAGATTTAATAAGGGTGAATTATTAATATCTAATTGATCATTTAGTAAGTTATCTGAATTTTTAAATCTATTTATTTCAAGTGTTTCTAAATGGTTTAATTTAAGGCTCTTATTTTCTACATGTAAAATTTCAAAGTTGTCTGTACAGACAAAGTTGTCTGTATTGATGTTTTCTTAAGTACTTTGTTTTGTTAAATTATTTCGTATATATATTGGATACCGAATTGTAAATAGTCACATTTGAAAAAGAAGTTGTACTTCGAAACATATGTCATGTTAGTGTTATTTTAAAAAAAAAAAATTTTTTTTATTTATTTTTAAAATAAAAGTGTGAAAATCTACCAAATTTGGTTTTACTCTTTCAAAACCTTTTTAGTTAGTTCAGTGATGTTAAAGCAGAGTATAGTGCGGTTAAGTGTTATACGTTAACGGTAGTGTAACTAAATAATTAGACTCTAAGGTATACTAGTGAGCAGTGGTGGCTCGTCGCCAAAATTTTGGGTGTTCACAGTGACAGAATATAAATATTAGTACAGATGTATAAAAAAACTTTCAGTGTTTTAGAAAGTTTATAATATTCCTTTCTAAAACACTGACAGTTTTTTACCTACATCTGTACCGAGATCTATATTCTGCTACTGTGAAGTCCCAAAATGTTGTTCACAAGCCGCCCCTGCTAGTGAGTAGAATATTAGTTTATGAAGTTTTTTATCCCTTGATAAGTTAGATTAGAATAAAATTGCTAATTGATCCTAATGATTAGATTGTAATAATCGTAAATGTTTCTTTACTTGGGGTATTTATTAAAAAAAAAACTATTTGTTTCAGATAAGTGCATTAGGAATTTGTGGAAATAAGCGATTCGCCTTTATATTTTATGAAATTATTAAAAAATTATTTATTTGATTGTTTACGAATCAATGTTTGAGTTTTGTGTATTTTAAATAAACATGTAGGTATATTTATAAATGTCTTTTTTTAGTCTAATAATATTTTAGAATAAAAAAACTTTCTATATTTCTGAAATATTACTATTTAATATTTCTAAAGGGTTTCAAATTTTTATTTTGGAAATATTATATTTACAGGACATTTTTCGTTTCAGGCACATTTCAGAAATGTTTCTGGGATGTTTCGTAATATTTATACAACATTACAATGGTTTCAATGTAATATTTTTGAAATATTTCCGAAATATGTTTGTGCTGTATGGGTAGGTGAAGCAAGTTTGGTCTTTTTGATTTCAGACTTTCACAGAGTAAAGTTGTTTAATTTTTAAAATTTTGTAAAAAGCTATTGTTGAAAACTTCCTTTTGCCGCGTAGGCAGAATAATTGTATTTTTTGTTAATAGAACCAGTTTTTTTTAATTATTACAGTCCACTTTTATTTAGAGTGATTAACCAACATAAACAAATATATCTTTCATTAATCAAAGTCAAATTAATATTCTTTGATATTAGGCATTCCAACGACCTGTCAAACAATAGGTGCCAGTGGGAAATTCTTGTATATCTAAGGGGGTAGCGACATAGTCTTGCAACTTGGACGATATTTTTTTTCAAAGTAGTAGTCGCCAAGCCTGCCAATTTATGAAGAAATGTATAGGTGGGTTTTTTAAATATTATTTTTATTGTGTTTGACATAAAATATTTAAGTGTAATCCATTATTCATGATTTTACGTAAAGTAGATAGAGTACACCATATGTCGCCACCCTTAGATATATTAAACCTGCCCACTGGTAATTCATTTGTTTGGAATGCCTAATAGAATCTACAGATACATATAGGAACCGTGCGTCATGACTTTAGCGCTAACTGGTGATAAAACTGTGAACTTTATGGGGGGTATTTATTAATGTTTTATACGGCATTTATTGTTTAATAATTATTAATAAAATGAAGTCGAATTATTTTCGTAATATCAATATCGAAAAAACTTGTTGCATCCGTGGATGTACAAACACATCACTTTGGAAACCTGGATTTCATTCGATAGTAAAGAAATTTTATAAATTTCCACAGAGCACAATTATGCCTCACACGCAATGATATACATAATTACAAAGAGTGCTTATCCATATGTAAATCAGACGACGAAAAGCGTATTTCACTGGGCAAAGTTTTCTTTTTATCTAGCTTGTATCAATTTTGAGCACTTAGTTGTAAAGAAATCATTTACAGAACCAGTTTAGAAATTAGAATCTTTAGTGTTTTCTTGTCATTAAGATTTTTACATATTTAAATGAACATTTTATATAAATATAATTTTACAGATAATGGTTTATTCTGTTGATTAAAACTAATGTAGAATATGAAATAAGAATGTCCAATTTGACAAAAATATCACGGCCCTCTTTACAATTTATTAACTATTTCTCATTTATTATTAAAATAAACAAATCATAAATAATACATTGCAATTACTGTCAAAAGAGATTGTAACAAACTTTAAAATATTAAAAATCCAGTGATTTTTTGTAAATTTTTTTAGTGACATTACCATTAAACATTATTCAGAATAATAGATAAGTGTCCAATTACAACTCTTACCAAAGTTGTTCATACCTCATATCAAAATTGTTTACATTACCTTTTCAAAATTGTATAACATATTGCAATTATGTATTTTATGTAGAATTGTTTCTGAAATAGTAGTCTAAAATTATTTATATCCATCTGTTATAAAAATTGTTTAGATCTCTTAATATTATTTAACTACATGAAAACTCAACTTTCCAAATACATAATGACATGTCTTGAAGTAAAACTTTAATTATTTTCTTTTTCTAAAGATTAAAATGCTGAAATTTTATTTTAAAACACATTTGGGCTAGAACGGCTCTATTTAGTGAGTAGGAAAGGCACATTGCAACCCGCTTTTCATAATTTTTTTTATAGATGGGTAAGCAATCTATAATATGTATCATTGAACATCTCATAAACGTCAGTGGATGAATGACATTTCGATTAACATAAAGCTAAAAAGATTTATAATTATTATTATCAATCTTTTTTATTAATTTACATTTTTTAAATGTTATTGTAATACTTTTAAATTCAGTGTTACTAAATACCGATATTTTAACATTGGATACACTTGTTTAAGGTACAACTTTACAATTTATTGTCACTTAGCCATTTAAATCTTTTTGCTTAAAATGTATATGCATGTCCAGATTTTAATAATGTTTCACATTTTACGTCATTTTGACCATGTACACGATTGTTTGGTACGGGCCGGTATCTATTTTTAACTATATTTAATATTTAAAAAAATACCCTTTATTATTTACTTGCAATGTTTACCCCATTTAATTCTAAAATTAAACACTAGAGAGGGCTAAGTTCGGCAGTAGTGCTGCCTCTATATTTCACGCACGGTCCCTATAATATTACCCATTCATTTTATATCGCCCTGTATATTTTGGTTAATTGACTTTTAGTATATGTTCTGCACTCTATCAGACAGTAGAATAGGTATTTCAGATATATACGCCAACAAGAAAAAGTTTCCTATTTTATTCCCTTTTAACTAAAATAAAGATTTCCTCTTTAGTCTTTTCACCAAATAAAGTCTTTTTGCCATCTATCGTAAAGTAACTAAAACAGCTCAACTATAAATGAGTCTAATGAAAGTTTTCTACACTTGAAAGAAACAAAAATGATTTCAGGTTTTGGACTCTTGTATCTAGGCACTCAGCCAGGCGGCTGATAAAATGATATTGATAAGCACACAAAAAAGAACAATTTATATTTACTATTAATCGAGTTGGTGATATTCAGAGAGAATTATTATTATTATTACTATTTCATGTAAATGTATGATTTTATAGTGGCTAATAGTCATACAAAATATAGGCCGCAATAATTCAATATCTAAGCAATAACCTAAATAAAAAAAAGAAGAGAAAATATTTTAAATTTTTGTAATTTTAAATAATTGTTTATAATAAATAACTATGATTTCTTTAAGAAAATGTATGTGTTCAATGAGTTCAAAAGTATATAGACGATATTCAAAAGACCCTGGAATAAGCAAACGAAGAGCAGCACTGTCCAACCCTTTAGAATTAGAACAAGACTTCGAAAACCTAGAACTAGACGATTTAGAGGCAGATTTTATGGACGTGCACAAAAGTTACAAAGAGCATAGAAGAGAAATGGTCCTAAAGAAAGAACGACTCAAATATCAGATCGTTAAACAAAAATACTTCAAAGAAAAATTTCCGAACTTTTTAACCTGGAACGATAAGGAACAAATCAAGTTTCTTCATAACAAGGATCCTGAAGAATGGACTGTTGAAAAATTATCTGAAAGTTTTCCGGCTTTACCAGAAACTGTGCAGGTTAGTTTTTTCCACATTTGTCGAGAAACATAATTTGGTACCTATTGTGTAAATTTGGTATTTGGGCCAGGATATGAGTAGATTTACCTATGGAAAAATATAATAAGGCTTAAAAATTGTTATTTTGGTCCAATTCGGTGCCCTGATGATCCCCTTTCAATTGCTCCCCAGCTATCTGGCTGTGCAAACAGCTGACGCGAAATAAAAAAAATATTGTCCAGTTCTTCATCTAGAGCTGTGGTCCCCAACCCACGGGCCGTGAACCGATACTGGTCCATGGATCAAATGGTACCGGGCTGCCCAATAAACATTAAATTATTTCTCTTTTATTCACTATGATGTATTTCTCTCTGATAACAAGATTTTTTCCAGATGAAAATTGCTAAACAGTGTATTTGAACTACAAGAGCCATTGTAAAGAATTATCTCAGAAAAGAAGTCACCACTGGCAGCACATTTCAGTGACAAGATATGGGTCACAAAACTGGCTTACTTGTATGGAGATGGGGCATGAATAGAGGCATGTTGGACATTAGTGGGATTTTATGAGACTGATCCTGAACATTCATTTTCCCAGTTAGTGCATGATCACTTGTGTTTGCTTTTAAAAGAGTTCGAGCATTACATTTAAACCACAAAAGACCCACGAACTGGTAAGGAATGGATCCGCCAACAATTTGTCAACAAATCAGGTGAATCTAGCATGTCTATGCAAGGATCAAGATTGAAATGATGGTGGCCTTAAAACTATGTTCGAGACAATAACTCTGCCAGTGTTCTGGATTAAAGTCATGGCAAAATAACCTGAGATTGCCACCACAGTACTTAAATCCCTATTGCCATTTCCAACAATTTACCTATGTGAACCGGGGGTTTTCTGCAGTGACAGAAACCAAAGAAAATTACGGAATAAACTGGACATAAGCAACATACACTTTGGGTGTCATTGTCCCTTATTACCCCCAAGATGGAACTGTCTCCTTGCAAAGAAACATGCTTTAAGTTCTTATTGATTTAGCATTCTAGTGAGTTAAAATGTTAAATTCATTTTTTATTGTAACTGTATTTTATTTTGAAGATATGTTTGAAAGCAAATAAATTTAAATTGTTAAATCAAAACAATCTAAAATATAAACAATCAACGTCCCTTGCTCAGCGGGCCGCGATAAAATTATCAAATTTCGATCGATCCACGGCGATAAATAAGTTGGGGAGCAGTGATCTGGAGGATATTAGTAACAAAAAAAAATCTTTAATAGTACTACCCTAACAGAGAAGCATGCCTTATTGTTGAAGGCCACGCTCCCATGGTTTGCACTGCTTTCATTTTACGAGAGCTGTGAGCTGAACTGATGATAATAGTAAAATTTTTCAAAAACGGCATTATACCTGAATAAATACACTTTACAATAGTTTTTTGTTTGAGTCGATAGCTGGAAAATTAAGGGAATGGCAAGCGCTCAAAATCGACCTGTTTGTAAATTTTATCAAAGTTACTCCTACTTTGTTACACTTATGGGAACAATAGCATCAATCATCTTTAAGTCACGGCACGGCAAATAATAATAGCCGTCCCTTCCCCTACACAAATCGCTCAGTCGGCTTCAGAGGTTGAAATTCATTTGTAAGGGGGTGAATTAGGGAGAGCATTATTATTATTATTATAATTTCCGTTAAAGTTTTTAAAAAATAAAAAAAAAATTCTAATCAGTTTGATTAGAATTTTTTTTTATTTTTTATAATTTCTTGACCTACGACCTCACGCCTTTAATCGTGTCTCAGTCATACAGTATTTGCATTAAAAATACACCCTTTGGGGAACATAAACTAGATTAAATTGTGGAAGGATGATTTTTTCTAATCCTTTTCAAGGTAAATTATTAGTGTAAGAAAATATGGGTAACTAATGAAATTTACAAACATCTGCCGATTTTGTGTACTCATTATTCTCTTACAGTTCCTCATCTGATTGCAAAAAGTGTCATGTCCTGTTTTTTGCTTGCTGTTTGTAGTTAGGTAGGTATATGGGAGTTAGGTGAACAACATGTGCTCTGTCCTGCCGGTGGGAGCTGTCGTCTACTCTGTCAAATTCAAAATAATGTTTCACATCGATGGAGTTTTTCGTTTTTTGCTGGTAATGAAATAATTTACTTTTAGAAGTCTATAACAATAAAAATAGCCCTTAGAAAGCATTTGTTGTCGTCCAGTTTTACTACGTTCTGTGAGTTTAAAAATTTCCTTACATCGATAGTAGCAAAACTGGATGATAGAAAATGCTTGCGAAAGGATTTTTTCATTGTTTTAGATGTCTAAAAGTAGGATACAACCTAATATACAAAAAAATTAATTTGAACAATAATCAAATTCATACAAAAAACAGATATTTACATGAGTAAAATAGACGCTAAGAAAAAAAAGAAAATATTCTCCCGTCCTTGTGACAGCTGATGATATTTGTGAGACTCCCCTTCCTAGTGTAACGTCACATATTTTGCAATTTTACATCTAAAAATTATTACAACAGCAGTTTCAAAATTAGTTTGATTTCCATTTAATTTTTTTAATAAAATCAACATCATTTATTCAAAGGGCTCTTAGGATGCCGGCGCGTGACACTAGTAGAGCGAGTGTAAACTCGCCAACGAAACAATTTAAACCTTATGTTAATACAGATAAGAGTTGGAAAGTTTTTCATTAATAGATCAAATTTCATGAAGTAATACCTAGATATATTAGATTTTGAAATGTGACGTCACGAAAATTAGGATCCCTCCCACCCCTGTCGACCCCCTCCATCCCCCTTAACGTGTGAGTAATTTACGGATGTCAAGCTATTGATTTAAAAAAAAACACTATTGTAAAATATAATACGATTTTGGAAAAATTTCAATATGACCATGCATTCGACGCATAATGCTCGCAAAATGAAAGCAATGCAAAATATGGGCGTGGCCTTTGACAAAACATGCCTTTCTTCAGGACGCTCTAGAGCTAGAGGGTAAAACTGTAAATTGTAGGGCAGTACTCACTTGGGTTTGTTATCACAAATATCCTTTGGATGAAGAGTGGACAAGAACTTTTTTATTTCAGACTAATAATTTGTGCTCAAAAAATCTATTTTATTTTTAACGTCCCCCAAAAAATGCAAGCCGATAATCCAGAAGCAATTGAATGGGGATCATCAGGACAATGAATTGGACCAACATACCAATTTTTAGTTCTATTCTAATTTTTCACAGGCAAATCTACTCTATTTCTTGGCCTATACAGTATGGAATAGCCAAATCGAATAAATTCGGTAATGAATAAATGGGGGCCTGTTCGGAAAACGCTCGGACACTTCGATTGGTATTTTTTGTTGCGCATTTTTTTAACGAAAACTTTCTTATTTTAACTGCAACACCCTGTATACTTTTCAATTTTTTGATTCTTCAGAAAATTCAAGACATATTTTATGTACTGTGTCCTATACATAACTGTTTCGGAAATGTTAAATGTTTTCCGATTTATTGCAAAAAATTCGCACTGAATATTTATTTCCTTTTTACGTCTTGATAATGAGAAAGTAAGCAAAAACCATTTCAGCATTCCTTTTTTTACTGATATGAAATTAAAAAAAGCTGCATTTAAATAGTTTTGTTTATTTTTGTTTAAAACCCCTGACCTTGACAAATTGTTATCTGACTGCATAACAGTAGTTGTCAGTGTTATAGTTGTATGAATTTCTTTAACCTCATATCAGAAAAATGGTTTATTTAATAGAAATGCATAAAATAACAATTCTACAGATGACGGATTATAGAGATAACACACAGACACAAATGGAAGTTGCTCGCCTATTTCATAAAAAAATTTCAAATTTACCGCGTTTATCCCAAGGGACAATTAGTAAAATAGAGAAGCAGTTTCGCGAGCTTGGACATGTAAGGAAGATATAAAAAACAGCTGCCAATGCAAAAATTAATAATACCAAATTGAATGAGTTTCAGGTTAACCCACATACTTCTAGTCGACAAGCAGTCCCAATGTTCGATATTAGCCTTTCATCGATTATTCGAACATTAAAAGAAAATAAAATGCATCCCTATAAAATAATAGCAACTCAGGAGCTCATGGAAAACGATTTTGAGAGAACGCAATTTAGTGAACAAATAATGGCAATGTTAGACAATATGGTGTAATCAAATTAGAACATGTTTTGTTTTTTGATGAGTATATCTTTACACTTCATGGTCATGCTAATCTTCAAAATTGCCTAGGGAAAATCCTCACTGGATGAGAGAAGAACATACGCAATAAATACCCTGAAAAGGTTTAATGTTTGGGCAGGAATTGTTGGCGATCATATCATAGATTCCTTTTTCCTTTATGGCAATTTGAATGGCGATAATTATTTAGCACTGCTCCAAAATAATGTCATGCCAACTTTAACGAACTTGTATCTCTATCCAGCAAACCCACAAGTTCCAGCGAATATGATATGGTTTCAGAAAGATGGAGCACCGCCCCATTACCAAATCAATATCCGGCAGTACCTCAATCGTGTATTTCCAAATCAGTGGATAGGGAGGCGAGGATTGATGGAATGGCCAGCACAATCCCCTGATCTGACAGCATTAGACTTTTTTTATGGGACTGTCAAAAGTATAGTATACAAAATTGAACCTCTTGACCTAGCTGACTTAAGAAGACGAATAGGGGAGCGGCGGGACGGTTTGGACAGGGGAAGCATGGGCACATTAAAAATTTTCGCTTAATTAGAAAACAGGTCAAAAGATATACTTAACGTTAAGCACATTTGAATGTTCTCAGTACCCATTGGGTGAAGTAGGCAGGTCGCTTCGTTTCGACCCATCACAATTGTCGTATTAGTCCATTTGTTAGATCTAATATTTTCCAGTTGTAAACTCTGCTTTTAACAGACTGTTTTTCTATTTCTTGGGTTGCTGATTTATGGCCAGTATTAGGTAAGCTTTAACAATTAAAATTTGTTGTTATTTTTAAGATATATGAACATACTTTAACAAATTTTGTATTTTATTAGTCGAATTATGTTGCGGGAGGGTATGGACCCCTGTCCAAACCCTCCTTAAATTATAAAATTGTTACAGGAAACATGCCTTACAAATACAGAAGGTTAACAGATCGGACCTTTTCTGCAAAAGCTTTGAGCACTGCAACAGTGAATGTATTGTCAGGAAAATACTCAATTAGGAACAGCGCACAGGAGCATGAAGTTAAAAAATCAGCTCTAGCATTATATGTCAAAAATTGAAAATATGTCATTCTCTCCGCGTTTCGTCACATGCCATGTGTTTATCTAGTGTATTGGAATCCTCACTTGCCTGTTACCTCAAAACATGCTTGAATATGTACCATGGTTTAACTTCAAAAGCTACACGCAGACTGGCATATGAGCTTGCTGAAAAAAAAACACCTTAAAAATCCAGACTCTTGGAAAGCAAATAAATTAGGAAAGGATTGGTTTACTGAATTGTCCATAAGAACCTAAGAAAACACAAGTTTAGCGAGCATTTCAAGTTTTAGTAAATTCTGTAAAGAGTAAAGAAGTTCTGAAAAGGCAAGAATTCACTGGATCAGACATATTTAATTTGGACGAGACCGGAGTTACTACAGTCCAAAAACACAAAAAGTGGTTGCCACCAAAGGCCAGCATCAAGTGGGCAAGGTCGTTTCGCGTGAGAGTTGGTTACACAAGTAAGCATTATTGGAGCGAGTGGAACAGAACTTCCTCCAGTGTGAATGTTTTAAAAAAAAAATAAATTAACATCGAATGCTAAGAGGTATTCCAGACGAGTATGGCGCAACCGGCTTAGTTCATTCGTCTGAATGGATGAACAGCGATACCTTTTTTAGTTTTATAACATTTTGTAGCTCATGTTTGATGTTCTAAAGAAGGCCAAGTCATTCATATAATGGATAATCACGAATCACATTTATCTGTTCCTGCAATTGATTACTACAAAGATAATGGTATTACAATTCTTACTTTTCCACCCCACACACCTAACAAACTACAACCTTTAGATAGGACTATTTTCGGCCCATTCAAAAGATGTTTCAACCAAGAGACAATTAACTGGATGCTCTCTTATCCAGGACAGATGTTGTCAATTTATGACTTGGCACCAATATGCATGAAAGCTTGGGATCGATCTGCAACTCCTTTAAACAAAAATATGGGTTCCGTTGCATATTTTTAGCGAAGAAGACTTCCTTTGCTCATTTGTCACAGACAGGCTACCACCTCCAACAGGAAATTAGTTTTTAAACAATAATGTATATACATCACTACCATCCACCTCTTCTGTAGTCATTACCAGTGTTCCAAATTCCAGTTGAAATTGAGCACAATCGAAATTTTGTATCGCCTTCCAAAATAAGACCGTACCCGAAAGCTTCAGAACGGAAACACACTAGAAAAGATCCAGTAAAAAGAAATAGAAGAAGTTGTTGTGGATGGCTACAACGTGAAATTTTTAAAAAAGCAAGTTGCTTCCAACCGGTATAGATTTAGCGAAGAGTCCCCCGCATTTGTGTCATACGAAGAAGTGATTTTGAAACTACCAAATCCTTTGACAGACCGAAGTGCCCGGGAACATTTTTTTTTTAAGATATTTGTCAAATAAATACTGTCCTATCATTTGGGGGAGGGTTTGGACATATTAGATACGGATATATACATATAAATAACTTATAATGAATACTTTTTCAAAAAAATATGCAAAAATATCAATCAGTCTAGTACCAAAATTTTTATTATTTCTTACTCATGTCCACGCAATAATTATTTATTTAAATATTGTCCAAACCCTCCCGGCGCTCCTATAATGCTTGCGATTAGATAGGTCACGCCTGAGATCTTTAGTAACGTTAGAAGACATTTTTATTTCAGATTAGGATGTTGCCAAGAGGTTCGCGCCGAGCATTTTGAACATCTTCTAGAAATGTTTTTTTTTGTTACATTATCAAGAAATAAACAGTATTACTTATTAGTTTTTGGGTGTGTTTTAACGAATTTCTGTAATCAAATTATTTTATTAATGTCTAGAATTTTCTGAAGAATCCAAAAATTGAAAAATATGCAGGGTATTGCATTTAAAATAAGAAAGTTCGTATTGTCCACTGTTACATGACACACCCTGTATAAGTTTTTGTTAAAAAAAAAGCGCAACTAATAATACCAATAGACGTGTCCGAGCGTTTTTCTCCCATTTATTTATTACCGAATTTATTACATTTATCTGTTCCATTCTGTAAGTAAAGAACAATCATAACTAGTATTAATTTTTGTTTCAGAAAATTTTAAAAGGCAAATTTTTAAAATCAGGTTCTAAGATAAAAAATCACGATACTGTTGTTGAGAAAAACTGGGAAGATTTGAAGGCAGGAAAATTTGAAAATTTACCTTCGGATTTAATAGAACATTTAAATAAATTTACTGCTAGAAAATTAAACACACATGTGTTAATAAAAAAGCAAGAAATAATCAACAGACCAAAAATCAAATCAGAATTTTCAGAAATAATCACCAGCTATGAAAAACTGAAAAACAAACATTTAGACAATGAAATTAGTGATAATTTACAATTAAACATTAAAAATGAAAAACATGCTGACCAAGATACATATTTACTCTTAGCAAAAAAGAAAATGAAAGATTTGTCACCTACAACCCTATCACATCTTCAAGAGGGTATAAAAAACAAAGCAGTCAAAGGTAATAATTTGACGGAAGAAGAACAAATTATTTACGACGAAGCTGCGGTACTGCAACCAGAAGAAAATGCCATAGCCTTAAATCAGGAAGACGTGGCAGCTCTTTCGGAAAATAAGTATAACACCGGCGCTGGATCGTTGATAAGAAAAACAGAGAGGGACTATTCACATCTCATTTACCCAGAAAAAATCGTTATTCCTAAGGAACTAAAAAAACGGGGGTACACTTACAGATTGAATGATTGTTATTATGATGTTGATGGAGAATTTTTGTACAGGGTGCCAGGTATGGATAAATAAAAGATATTTAAGTGCATTTTCGTTTTATTTCAATAAAAGAGCCAATTGGGGTTAAATCTGGTGTTGTGGTCGTTTTTTGAGATAATAATATTTTCAAATAAAACAAAATTTATTTTTCTTCGTTTATTATAAACAATATCAATATGTAAATGACTAGCACAAGCATTGTAAAGTATAAACGAATACTTTTGCTTTACAAAATCAAAAATGTTTTTTTAACGAAAATATACAATTGTAAATTAGTTTCAAATTTTGAGAAAAAATTGCACTATTCCAAACGTGTTTTTTTTGGCAACAATAATTAATAGTACTGAAAATTATTTACAGTATAAAAGGTCTAAAATTGACGTGTACAAAAAGTGTTAAAAAAATTGTGTATCGCAACAGCATACAGGATCAACATTTATTATTTTTTTTAATGTTTGTACTTACATTATTTTAATAATTATCTGATTCTCAACAATAAGACTTTTTCATAACAATACAAGTAAATAATATTTTTTTAAAAACATTTAAGTCGTACCGCATATTTTCTATTGATAATACTTCGTTTATTAAAATTACTGCTATACAAAAAGTTCATTTGACAAAATATTCGATTTTTTGAAAAAAAGTAATGTAAAAACAAAATTGGTAACTAAAATGTTAATCGCGTGTGGATTATTTTGGTGGAAAAATATACACCCCACAAGAATTATCGCATCACTAATAGTTTTCAAAAATTTGGAGTTTTTTCTGAACCGTTTGATCGATTTGGATATTCTTTTTTTGGAAGATAAGTTGATTCTTCAGGAATAGTAATCTCTTTGATTCTTTAAATAATATTTAATTTTTGAGCGTAAACCGGGTGTTACAATAATATAGGTTTTGGTTGAAAAATTCGTAACACCCTGTGGAGTGTAGCAGCAATAATAGCATGTTATAATTATTAATAGCCTACTTTAGCCTCATCTTTTCGCACAATTTGATTTTTTTGATTGTTTTATTCTCTATTATTAGAGGAGAAATACAGTTTTTTAGCACTGCCTGTTTTTATAAACATACATTGCAAACATTTTAGTGATGCGATAATTTTTGTGGGGTGTATATATATTATACAAGAAAAACACTGGTATAGGTAACGTAAAGGATTATGAACATAAAGTAGAAAGTGTTTAAATTAAAAATATCCAACATTAGTTAAGGAGAGGTCATACACAATCTTGATAAACATAGAAAAATTCAATTATCGCCGATAGAAAGGTCCTAAAATGTTCATACTGGATTTCGAAGTCAAAGCTCTTTCGTAATATGTCCAACTGGTTCTTTAATTGTACAAAAGTGACCATGAAAACATCGCTCAACATACACTCATATCTCGAAAAATACGATAGATAGAAAAATACTGTTTGCTGTATTGAAAAGAGTGGTAAATTTCCTCATCGCGTGAAAATTTACAACTCGATTTATCAAAGATAACTCATTTATGAACGATCGAAAAACATCTTAAAAAAGATGGAAATTCTCAGATAAAACATCATCCAACGTTCAAGCATTTACCACGAAAAATAAGAAATATAGAAAAACGCAGTTTACTCCATCGTAAAGAGCAGGAAATTTAGTTGAGTTTGTTAAATTTTGAAAATCGATTTCTCAAATATAACTCTTCTGCAATCAGTTAAAAAAAAAGCTATAATAGTTTTGCCTGTCTTCACATATCGTTCATTTCAAAATTATTCAAATATTCAGATGGTATACCAAAAACAGATGCTAAAAACCGAATGGAGAAAATCCGGTAAGCGCTTCGGCCATTTATAAACGAGATATCCAAATATGTTGATTTTTTCATTTGACACACCACAAAAGTATTACTTGTCGATGATCTTAAATCGTTATTTCAAATACCACGTCACGGCAACCAATTATCTCCTTAACTCCTGAGCAGTACGCCGTTTGTTAGCTGTTCTACTAGTGTTGCTGTTATTATCAAACTTTTTAACCGAAAAACAAATCTACTAAGGCGCTTTTTCACTCCAAGCGTATGCCTTGGACCCACGTACTTAAGTCAGTGATGTCGCCGTCCACATCCATCACGATTTCGTCTTGGTGATCCGCCAGCATGAGGATTTGTGTAGCAGTTCTGCCACTCAAATAAGCTCCATGAACCGTCGAATAGAAACTGCTGTGCGTATGTTCACCAGCAAACAGAAGAACAGGCTGAAATTGTACATTTCAAATATACGCTAGTTCAGGGATGATGTAATTATGGTTACACTGACAAAGTGGAAGTAGATTTTTTGAGTGCGTTTTGTTAGTTTTGTTTACTTAAATTATATCGTTTCTTCACTTTTATAAATATATTCCTAAGGTAATTAGATAACATGCATCAAATATACAATCGTTTAGTTACCAATTACATACCTTTAAACTATTTTTTCTAACCTGTAAACAATATTTAGAAATAAACTAAAAACAGTAAAAACGTATACATCAAATTTATTGATATTTTTATTAAGTTTGGATAGAATTAAATGTCAGAGGAACCAAAATGACATCACACTGAACTAGAGTATTAACCAGTCAAAACTTACTTAATACCTTACCTCTTTCTCACTCTCATCATAATAAATAGGTTGTGCCAACAATTCTATGTCTATTTGCGAAGCCCCGACTGCCAGAGCTGTATAGGAGCCCCTTGTGTATGGCTGACTGTGCCAACTCGTACTAAAAAACAAATTTATAAAACCTCAATTTTTCTGGCAATTTGATTATATTTTATATTATAAATCATCTCCCTCTTTCAATTGAAAACATACTGACTTTTAGCTTATTTAAAATCAAACTGAAACGGTACCTAATAGAAAAATGTCCATATAGCTTTAAAGAATTTTTCGAGTAATTAATGTTTTCAATGTCCCACTACACTTTTTTTGTTGTACATACTTTTTATTTCAATTTAAAAGTATTCTTAGCTAGCTGTATCTATTTTATATTTTTATTTTAATGGGTTTTACTTAAATTTGTCTTTTCTTGTATTTATTGTTTTTATTATATATTGTGACATTTCCTAGATCATGTACCTAAATGATCATTCAGGATAAATAAACTATATATCTATTACAAATTGTAAGAAAAATGACTTACCAAACGCAATTTTTTGGTTTAGGTATAAAAGGATCATTCAAAAATTTCCTTAAAATTTTCGTACATGTATCTATGATCACATCGTTGGTTAAAGTTTCCATATATTCGGCCTCTTTGCCAGATATCCAACCTAGAATAACGGTTTCCGAAATTTTCGTAAATGAATAGATTTTTTTATACCAATTTTTGGTGATGTCCGGTTCTTTTTCTGACTCTGCTTCCCACAGTAACAACACCTCGGTGATGTTGGGATGCAAAAATGGCCGATCGTATTCCAGCAAGATCTTGTCTACAGTCCCAAACAGCAATCTAGAAAAACGATAGTAAATTTCGAAAAATTCTGGAATTCAAAAAAATGGAAATAAAATTTAAATTTTATTATTATTTTGAAGATTATATTATTTTAAAAGAATGCAGCTAACAATTACAATACAAAATGTTTTCTTTTCTGGAACTGTAACGATGCACTAATATGGCGCGCTTATGAATGTATGATTCAGAAAACAGATAAATCAATGAGTTTTATTGGAAATATTGAAAGACAAGAAATTACAAAACTGGCAAAAAATCAAAATTTATTGTTTCCGTAATGACAAACGTTCATTATTTGCAGATGACTTAAAACTTTTCCAAATTGTTAAAACCCATGATGATGTCCATAGAGTTCAGTCTGACCTCAATAATTTATCAGAATGGTGTTCTTTAAATGACATGGACTTGAATACCAATAAATGCTATATCATGAGTTTTTATCGTTCTCATCTAACTCCAAGTGCATTTGACTATAACTTAAATGGGCATATCTTACGACTATGTTTATCAAATTAACGACGTTGGAATTATTCTTGATTCCTTTTTAAGCTTTAATCAATACATATCTGCTGCTGCCACAAATCCATGAAAATGTTGGGTCTACTGACAACTGCAATTAAAGTTCTTTATTGGTAGCTATTGCTCTTCCGTTTGGTCTTCACACTATATGATATAGTACAAAAATAGACAGTGTTCAGAACAACTTTATCAGACATATAAGGTTCTTTCGTTCGTCCCACTGGGGTAGGAATGAACTACACCAAGTCACACCTTTCATAAAATCCACTACACCTTCCTGTCGGCGATGTGGTGTCCACCAGTGAATATTTTCTCCACCAGTGGATATTTTCTCCACCAGCTATTTAGCAGGAGTGAATTACATTCGACATGTGTGTCAGGAATAAGGAGGAAGTAAACTAGGTAAATAAGGTGGTGTAACTGGTGGACACTGCACCAATAGCGAACGAAAGAACCTATAGCTTTTAAATAGGGCATTTATTGTAAATATGATTTCATGGAACAGTTTCTGAACATCCCCTGCTTGGAAACTAGGCAAAAACAGAAAGACCTTACTTTGCTGTTTAATATTAGAAATAATAGATGTAATTGTCCTGAACTTCTTGAAAAAATAAATGTTCTTGTCCAAACTCATTCAACTAGACAACTGCAAATATTTTATGTACCTTTGTATTGATCAAACCAAGCTTTTAACAGCTGCATTTCAAGAAAGCTTAGACTAGCTAACTTGCACAATGATCTACGGCTGTTCAATATTCCCTTTTCTTCATTTAAAACTATATTAGTTAATTCTGAGCTTTAATGCTAATGTTTTACTGTGTATTTTCTCTTTTTTGACATTCCACTAATCTATTTTGTTATTGTATATGTATAATATCTGTAATACAGCACCATAAAAATTGTAATTTATAATTGAAATGGGCTTGCCATAAATAAATAATAAAATTAACTAATTACTTACCGATCTATGGCTTCCAGTTTATAATCAGACAAAGGGGGTTGAAACATTGTGGCAGCACAACATTTCAACACCCCTAATGGTATAGTACAAATTACATGATCCGTTAAGAACTTTTTACCATTATCACAGACTATTTCAACCTTGTGCTTTCCCAGGGTCTTCTCGCAACTCGATTCCCTACTAGAATGATTAGAATTCAATGGTGATTCTATCACAGTACGATCCGAATCATCAGAGTCGCTATCTTCTGGAATAGAATCACAATTTGTCACCTAAAACCAAATAAAAGGCTCTAAAATATGGAAAACCTACTGATACACTCAATTTTACCTTTCTACTACTCCATTTGATAGTCTTCACGGGATGATTCGTTAATAATTTATCTGCAGGTATGGCTTGCTTTAATGGCTCCAAAATTGAACTGTACCCATTCGGCAACACTATATTACCCCCTTGCAACTCCTCGTAGCTACCCAATTCCAACAAATCTATTTCACTCATATCATCACAGCCCGATATACAAGTTTCTCGTTTCAACAAACACTCAAATATCAATTCTTTTAAATGTCGTTCGTTCTGGTTCTGGATTTTGTCTAAATATAAACTTATTTCTAACCTTAAATGATCGCCTACGCTGTCTATGCCCTCCGGAGGGGAATACTGAGAGATGAAATACTCTTCGCAACGCTTTAGAAAGCACAAATATGCCTCATAAGTCTCTCGCAAAGTTATAAAAGCTACTTGCTTTCCTTGTTCCGTAGCTGCTACTAATTTGTGTGGCTTAGGATAGGCCATTATGTCTACAAGCCCGTGCTGCATTGCTAATTCGTATACTGGATTACCTAATAAACGAAATTTAAACAGAAAAATAAATTCACAGTTACAAATAAGCTTTTACTAACCTAAAACACCATGTATCCAATTAGCTCCGAGTTCTACTTTTTCATTACCGACAGGAATCTGTACGATTCTACCGCCGATTCTGTCTCTGGCTTCTAAAATTTTAAAGTCGGTGAAGCCGTTTTTGATTAAATGGTAGGCTGATGAAAGACCGGCCATTCCGGCACCTATAATAATGATTTTGCTACTGTATACGTTGTTGTCTGGCTCTTGGGCCCCATCGTTTTCCATTTTATTTTGATTTTGCGACAGTGGTTACATCGGAGGGGCCCATCAGCTGTGAAACGCCAATCACAAAACATTCCTTTGACATTTGACGCCAATTCAACTGTCAATTTTAAAATCAAAACATATGCCGCGTTTGAATATACACATCCGATCCATTTTTTACATTTTGAGCGTTTGTTTATCCACATCGGACACATCTATAGTCTATTTTTATGTATGAGAGAGTATTAAAATAATAAAGCGTTCGTAATAAATAGGCGTAGCACTTCTTTTAGTAGACAGTTAAAATATTTTTTGAAGTTATTCCTCGAGTATACACTTATATTTTCACCTAATTAACCTGCTTATAATTTCTAAACAGCTGAAGGTAAAAAAGTGCAATTTTTTCTAAAATGTTTTATTTTTCCTCAAGGTATGTTAAGAACATTGTGACAAACGAGTTATGTAGGTATAAGGGTTTAAACTTTGACTTTTAAACAACGTTACGTTCATAAATAATAATATTAATATAAAAACTACTTCTTACCTACAAATCCAAATCAGAATCGAAATCAGAAGATGAACTGTCGCAACCAATATTTACAATGAGTGGCTCGATCATTTCATCAGTAATATTGTCCAACTTCCACATTTTCTCTTCTTCTTTAATCGTATGATTTACTGCCTTTTCCCAGTTTTCAGGCTTCACATTATTTACAGCCTCCCTAAACAACTGTTTAACATCACTCATTTTAAAAGAATTATTTTTTCTTAAAACTTCTCCCTTTATCTGTGCCCATATCAGTTCAATCGGGTTTACTTCGCAATGATATGGTGGTAATCTAACCACCGTCATCCCACGATTTTTTGCAATTTCATCAATTTCATATTTTTTGAATTTCTCTTTATGAAGGGAACACAAATGATACAGTTCATTTCTCACAGAACCGGGATGGAACTTAATATTCTTTGAATTCAGCCAATTCTGTAAATCTTTTTTTAACCACTTGGTTGTCGGCATTTTTTCTATAAGTCTCGAGTGATAACTTGCATTATCTATTACTATTATACAGTTCTGAGGAAGAAGATCTATAATTTGTTCGAACCACTCTTTAAAGACATCAGCATTCATGTCCTCATGGTAGTCACCGGTACGAGTAGATTCAAAAGTCAATAAACCACCTTCAACAAAACCGTTTGAACTACCGATGTGTACTATTATTAGTCTGCGCCCCTTTCCTGATGGTGGCTTTAAACCAGTAGATAAATTATTTAAAAAAGCCTGTCTTCGACTTGTAACAGTTCCATCTTGCCAAAATTTATTTGGTTTATGTCCCTCGTTGATCCATGTTTTATCTAAATAAAATATATTTCTTCTTTGGTTTCTCATTTCTTTTATAGTCCTTAGGTAATTTCTTCGCCATACTACAATATCGCTTCTTTCTATTAAAATAGACTTTCTGGAATGCTTTTTCCATAGAAAACCTATTTCTTTTAAAAGTTTCCATAGTGTGATTCAACTCATTTCAGGGTAATCCTTATCATCTCGAACCGTGGCAAGATCTTTGTCTACTGTCGGAAATTCTTTTCTGAAGAAGAACGCATGCACTTTCCTTCGAAGTATTTCTTTCAAAAGATTTTCTAATTGAAATTTTGGTTTTCCTGGAGCTTTATACGTGCTGTTTGAAACTCGCCACATTTCTCTTCCTTAAAAACTCTGTAAATCGTAGATTTCCCAACACCAAGCGTACTACTAATTCCACTGTGTCATCAACACTTTTACATAAATGTTTGTCTGATAATGTTTTTTCATTAACTGTTAAAGGACCGATTTTTTGTCGTTTACGCGGCCTTTCCAAATTTTCCATGATCACACTAGAATTCACACTGCACCTTGCAAGTTTGCAACTAAACGACATTTATTAAACTGTCAAGAATACACAACTTGGACCTCCTTACTAAATGGAAAACCTATAATCGCATTTTCGGTGAAATTTGTTGGGAAGGTATTTATCTACTTATAATTCGATTACTGTAAGAAATTCTTGGAATTAAAATAAAACAAAATTGGCAAATAGGTACTTATTGAAAATAATCTTAAGATACGGCTATGTAATCTTTAATACACAGGGCTTTTGGCCTGTCCAAACCTTTTTCTATTGTTCTGTACAGCTTATGTTTATAAAGGACCAATAAAAGATCCAAAACTTGTAATAGCTCAGGTACATTTATTACAATTTTAGGAAATATTTAGATTATTCTGTAAAAATATTTAAAATGACCGTACTAAGTTTTGCATTAGAAATGCTGTTTTATTACTCTCTCATACATAAAAATAGACTATAGACACGTGATAATAAAATGACAAGTTAGAAGTTTATACTTTTTAAATTTGACTGTTGAGACTATTAAAAATTTAAAAAAACCGACTTCAAAAACGTGCAGATGTCATCACCACATCTTAACCAAATTTATATTGGACCACCCCTGAGGTATCCCCTTACTAACAAAAAAAGAATCATATAAATCGGACAAGGTGGTAAAACATTATCGCTAAACATACATAAAAAATGAAGAGTTTGAGGATTTTCCCATGCACCCAATTATTAGATTTTGACTAAATTTATATGGGACACCCCTGAAGTACCTCCTTCCTAACAAAAAAAAATCATTAAAATCGGACACCGTGTTAAAGAATAATCGCTGAACATACATAAAAAAAAAATATCGCGACGAATTGATAACCTTCTCCTTTTTTGAAGTCGGTTAATAAATCAACCTAAATTTGAAATCTACACAAAAATTAAATGAACTAATCACTTTTATATTCATGCTAGCATAAACAAAGGATAAATTGACAAACTTGGCTTTAAATGCCGAGTTTGAGAATCCACATCGGATGCATTTTTTACATCTCGAGCGTTTTTTATCCACATCGGACACATCTGTCCCATTACATTTACGTATACTAAATCACGTGATCAAAGATTTACTACATCTCAAGGTGAGTTCGGGCTGCGCACTCCAGAGTGGAGTGTAGTAATTAGGCGTAAATGGAGTGCGAATATGATTTTACTCCTTTAACTCTCGGAGTGCAATGTCAATTGTCAATCTGACATACCAGTACTTAAAATTTAATCGTACTTGTCAGTAACGACCGTATAAGTTTCTTCCATATTAATGATATTCACGGGAACCAAAAAAAAATTTATTTACTAAAGAATCACTCACAATTAACTTATTATCAATTTAAATCACCTTATGCGCATGCCCGATCCACACTCCACTCCACCATCTCCGAACGGTCAAAGAGGAACTTTTATTTTAACTCCTTCCGTACCCGAACGCCTTAGGTACTTTAGGAGTGAATATAGTGAAAAGAGTGCGTAGACCGAACTCACCATCAATAGAATACTTATTTTCTGGCATGGAATGAATATCTCATTTCAAATCGAGATGTAAAAAAATGTAAATTGCATTGGGATTCTCATCTTTCAATTCGGCATGTGTTGAGACGACTATCTTTGTTCTACAGAATGCGATTCATATGTAATGTCTCTCTCTCTATTCGATTCGTTACGTGATGAGTACGCATATACCTGTGCTGGACAGGTACATCGTGCTTTGTGGGTACATGTTCTGTGGGGTACATCTCGGACGTGATCTCGGATAAACAATCGCAGATGTAGATGTGTCCGACGTGGATAAACAAACGCTCGAGATGTAAAAAATGGATCGGATGTGGATATTCAAACGCGACATCTTAGTCGGATGACGTCGGACTTGGGTACGTCGTCTTGAACTAATAATCAAAGTTCGGGTACAACCCCTCTAAAGTTCCAAGTCATAGATTTCCAAGTGTGTTCCGGTTTTATACTGGAATTTAGAGATGGATATTAGTAAATCCGTAACTGTTAAGTACATTTACGCATATGTTACTACCCATCTCTAAATTCACGCGATATAACCGAACTTCGATTTTCGTTCAAGGACGACCCACCACCCAGCCAAGTCCGAATCAGCTGAGTTCTGTTTATAAATACGGACCAATGAACTGGAGTGGGGTAGAATGCTTGTCAATAGGCTTGAGATGCGACTCTATGGGCGAAGACAGGTTATTTTTCATCTCACTCGGGAGTATTTATAACGACCATTTTCTATTTCACTTTGTTATTGTCTGATCCACCAGCCTGTGGATTGAACAATAACAATGTGAAACAGAAAATGGTTATTATAAATACTCCCGAGTGAGATGAGAAATAAAAATGGCTGCGCCCATAGAGTCGCATCTTGTTCAATTGATAAAATATGCACATTAGCTTTCTACCCCACTCCAGTTCATTGATACGGACTAGACAGTAATGTGCTAAATTACCGAAAAAGACAAAATTATTAGACAATAAAAAAGGAGAATAAGAGTCGTTCTTATATACCAACTTATGTAGAACTAATAAAGTAACGAAGACAAAAATACCAGATTACAGAAAGAAGCAAACCACTAGGAGAAAAAGAAGAATTGACGATATTACCGAATAGAATTGTACACTTTATAAAAAGAATTGACGGTTACTATATTACAGAATAAAACAAGGCAGTTTGGTAAAAGAAGAATTGTATAGACAACCAATAATACAATAAAGTGTAAATAATGTTGCCTACCTAACAGGATCAAAATTAATTTCTGGAATCCCCATTTACAAATTTTTTGATCTTTGATATTTCTTAACGCAAGAATGATTCACCCTACTATTTAGTCATTGATAATTTTAAACAGCTGTCGTTGGAAGACGGACCTATCACGCACGTAAAACCACAATATAGGGGATATATTGTGCGTAAAACCATTGCGTCTGTAAAGCTGCGCGTCGTTTTTACAAATATTTGCCCTGCGCCGTTTGTTGATAATCGAGTTTAATTTAGTGGAGTTGTTTTTTTTATTTACTAGAAGTCCTGATCGTGTTTATCGAAAATAGAAGTTGTGGTGTTCAAGAATAATTGTCTGGTGCTCTTATTGGGATAAAGTGGTTTGCTTGAAATATTATTGAATAGGTAAGCATGAGGTGTTACCATTAAAAAATATATAAATTGTTCTCCTAACCTATAAG